GAGATTGGATCTCATCGTGCCCGTATATAGTTTATCAAACCCTGTCTTTACAAATAAATAAACTACACAATTCAAAAGTAGCACTAGCAATGGTTTTTTAGTGTTCTTTTTGGTTTGATTTTTATGCTTTAATGATTTAGTAGATGCCTATCGTCCAAGAATATGATAGTAGCATGTTTTAGTCTCATAATGAGCTTGGTCTACCGTCCTTTTATCTTCTTAATTAGTCCATCTTCACTAGTTGGAGTTTTTTATTCGCATGTTTTTAAATATTGGGTTTAGACAATATCCCATATCCAAAAAAAAAAGAGTATTCATAACTAATAAATCTTATAGTTCAAAACAGAATCCTACTTGTAGAAATATATTTTACATATCCTACGTAAAATAACATTCTAATTTTGTTTTCTTATTAAAAATAAAAAATAAAACCAAAACTCACTCTTCAAGACTTTTTGGTTGAAATTGTACCTTTTAGTTGTAGCGTGTAGTGCAACTGTGCAACAACGTGGAAGGCCTGCTACTATAAGGCTCTGCTGCAGAAGATTACAGCTAGCAGTGTGCTGTGGTGGTAAAGTAGAGTATGTTTATTTGCACTTAGAAAAAAATATTATAATAAAAAAATTAAATTTAAATTTTTATAAAAAAAATACTATAACAATATGAATTGAGTCATAAAGATGAATAATGCTTGGGCCATTCAGTTCGTTAATTTGAGTTGAAATGTGATGTTGTGTGAGAGCTTTTTATTGTAGCAAAAAAGTTAGATGTGACTGTTTCTGAGAGTTTTTTACTGTAACAAAATTCGAATCAGCGAAAAGAACAGGGCCTTAATATTGACTTGGGTCACCCTTCAGTAAAATAATACAAGGTAGTTTAAGAGGACGTTTAGTTCACGGATTCATAATCATTATTCAAAACTATTTTTAATTTACGTGTGTTTTTTATAAGAAAAAATACTGTGACAAATCACAAATCATGACATGAATTCTCTTACTAAACATCCCATAAGTTTTAGTAATTATATTTGTTTCTAATTCCTAGGGGAAGAAAATACTATTGATTGTCTACTTCCCAGTGCAGAGATTACTCGGGGTTCACACCTCTGCACGTTACGCATTATGCAAAACAATGCTGTAAGTAATTGTCACACAACAGGTGCTTATTTATTTATTAAAAACAGTGACAGCAATGGTATAATAGAACTAATCGATGAATGACAAAGGGAAACAAAAAATTCAAATTAACCCCACTTTTTGCCTATAAACACATTAATTATCAATGACATGGGGAAAGTTATTACAATTTACAGCTGATATAGAACTTTTTCAGTAGGAAACAAGTATAGTGTGTAACATGTACTAATTTGGTGCCAGAAGTAATTTTCAATATACAGTATTATAGGTACTGTGTTATTTTCCAAAATTCTAGCAATAATACAACCTTGCGACTTTTAGTATCTAATATTTCACAGAATTAAATATGAAGCATATGTTAGTAATCATATACATATATATATGTGACACTAGAAGGAATATGACATGTTACTGACTTTCTTGGTATTTGGGTGAAGTGAAAGCTAACTAAGATTATGATATGCTGATCTAAGGTCAAACCCCATCAAGACTTCAAAGAAATGGAATGGTTTTGGAGTCAACTCAGCTGATATTGACGCAAAATGGTGGAATTATCTGCCTGTACTTGTGCTGTTGGAGAGGAATCTAAAATGAGGTAATCTTTGGCCCATTTGTATCGTCATTGTTTATTTATCTATTTACATCTATGATCTTACGGTCCGCAAGAATTGATAAAATATTCTATTGAAAACCAATAATGGGACTATGATCCAAAGATTCCAAACCGTTAGATGTAAATAAATAAATGAAAAATTAACAACAACGTTCTGAATCATGGTGGATTCGTGTCATGATGAGAAAAAATACTATAATAAACCACGAACCATGATTCGAATAATGGTTCGTGGTTCATTATATTATTTTTTCTTATAAAAAACACACGTAAATTAAGAATAATTCTGAATTATAATTCTAAATCTATGAATCAAACGTCCACTAAATTAAATAAAGTTGTTTTGTTTTGTTTCTTTATATAAATAAGCTACACCAAACTAAAGATTCAAAATTAGACTATTGGCTATTGTTTTTTTTAAAAAAAATTGACCTTCATTATAATATGATATCACATTTGTAAACTAATAGCATTAGTAAGAGTTCTCTATCAATGAGTTTTCTTTTATATATGAATATATATGTATATATTGGGAATTAAACAAGGAAACATTGCCTTCATTTGCTTGAACCTTCCACAATTAATCTCCATGGGCCAATTGTTGGCTAGAGTACTAGCAACTTCCTCATCAATATCTCCAAAATATGTAGGGTTGGGCATTCAATTTAATCCGATATATTTCACTATCTCCAATTTAATCCATAACTATATTAAATTTTGAAATATTACATCCAATGCAATGCAATCCACTTCAATTAAATTTAAATTTAATTGGATGGGTTGTGGGCTTTTTTTTTTTTCATTATTCCAAATTATAACTTAAATATGATTCGCTGCAAATGAAACCAAAACCAAAATTTAAGAATATGTCTTAAAATATCTAAGTAGGGTTTTCAACTTCAATTTGATATCAGTGTATGAGCAGTGACGGAACCAGCCTTTAACTTCAGTGAAGGCATAATGATACACTATTTTTCTTTAAACGAATAACAAGAAAAAATATACAAAGATATTGTAGTAAAATACTTTGAGAGTTTTTCTGGTAATCCGCCATATTGGTAGTGTTAGTTTTTTATTGTTGGATTTGGTCAAAATTACGCAAGATTGAAAAAATATGCAGAAGAGAGAGATTCTGATACAAATCTAATGGCTGAAAAATAAAAAACTACCGGTAGTCTATTTTTACAAGGACTGCCAAATAAAGTTCTCAATACTTTTCAAGAATTATCAAATACAAAGAGAATTTTAGAATATGAAAAAAAAACTACAGATAAGACTTTGTCATGAAACGTCATATTTATATAAAATAAAGAGCTTCTTTGTTAGGATCAAAAAAATGACCTACCGGTAATTCTATTTTCAACAATCAGATATGTATAAAAAATTATCTGTTTTAGTTATTTTTTTAATGTGATATGATTTTGACATGATCTAACAATTAAAACCTGACACTACCGATAGAACTGACCTACTAAAAAAATGCCATATAAAATAACTATTTGTTTTGCATACCTCTTACTTTAATGTGACTTTGATTGATTGATTGATTATTAAGGATACACTACCATAGACAGATTTTCTTTTTCTTTTTTTTCATTTTGAGGTTATAAAAAAAAAAAATACCCTATAGAATGGAGTTAATCTTATTTGTGCTAAATCATACACAACATTGCTATAAATGAGATACAATTCAAAATATGAAGTATATGTTTCTTAATCTAAAAATGATGGGTATAAAGATGAAAAAATAAACCATAAAAGCTAGCATATATATATATATTAATGAGTAAAGTTGTTTGTAAAATATATATAGAAATAAAATTTAGTGGCGGCTACCCTCACTCGTCCCCAAACAGCTCCGCCCCTGTGTGAGTGTATAGTAAGCATTTTTAATACCTATACAAATTAACAAAAATATATTTTTAAAATTTTTATATAAATATAATTACAAATATATATTCTCATTTTATACTATGCATTGGGTTGGGTTGTATCGGTTGATTTTTTATACTCATATTAGAGAAAATTGCAGAATTTATTTTTAAAAGTGTATAAATCTGAATTTTTACCTCCTACTCTTGATAAATACTCTTTTATTAGTATAATTATTTGACTAAAAAGGTTATGAATCAAGAGTAAATGGTAAAAATCCTAACTCATGCACTTTTAGAGGATATTTGTCAAGATTACTTTTCTCATTAACCTAAATTGATGAAGTCTAATTATATTTTTAGTTTTCTCGTCAAATACAATGAATATATAAAGGACGAGTTTTCAATGATTACGTTTCCATCGATTGTTACCTTCAAATATAGAAATTGATGATGTAACGTAATAAGAATTTAATTTTATTAATTGTCATTAATTTTAGTCAACTGTTCAATTTATTACAACCTTCAGACTAAATCTTGTGTCTAAAACGATAATATCTATTGATTAGTAAATATTAAAATAACTATTAAAATTACACCTGTATATAAAATATGCATCGCGTTGAATTAGATCAGTCAATTGTTTAATTAAAATGAATCATTTGCTCACCTTTAAAAATATCACTAAAAAAAAGCATCCACACTTTAAGTCATCATATATATATATATATATATAATCTTTTGTTCCAGAGCCCCCTCTATTTTCTAGGTTTAGAATTATTATAACACTAATGTTATTGTTTATGAAGAGACCTCAAGCTAGAAGGTCAATATGAATAGAATTCCAATTTAGTACTTACCATTATTTTTGTAACGAGAAAATCTTCTTAATTCCTCTGCGTATTTTCAATCACATAATTCTACAGTCAATCCTAAACAAAATATAAAGAAAAGAACAGAAAATATCCAAATGATCCAATCTATGTTTTATTATTATTATTATTATTATTATGGTCGTTGTGGTTTTCCTATTTTAACCAAAAATCCAGACAAAGCCCCAAAAGTTATGGGCGCCACGTTCCCCCACCACTGCCAACCTCGGAACCACACGAACCAAAAAGCTCTCAGGACCCTCAAGTAATTCGAGGTGAAAGTGGAGGGTAATCCTGTAATTTCAGTGACCAAAAAAACAAAATCTCCTCTGTACCAAAACCAAACAATGATTTTCTTTCGTTTCAGGAATGGCTTTCAGAGGTGGCAATGTCCTCCCCTCGTGAACGCGAACGCACACACACACTGACTTCCCTCCTCGGCAGTTAAGCTGCTCCAATCTCTCCGCCACCTACTTAATCTTCTCCATCCGCTCCGCCACCTACTCTTGCCCTCTCTAAAAGTGCCAAAACTTTCTCTCTCCTTATTCCCTTCATTTATTGTCTCTCATTTGTTCATTCAATTCATTCGTGCATATGTATAGTGAAGTTTAATCCTAGAGAGAGAGAGAGAGAGAGAGAGAGAGAGAGAGAGAGAGAGAGAGAGAAGATGCCTTTGGTGAGGTTCCAGGTGAGAAACGAATTCGGCCTGGGACAGCAGGAGCTCTACAATCGCGCCAACAAGGAAGATCCCAAGGCCGTGCTCGACGGTGTCGCCGTCGCCGGTCTCGTTGGGATCTTGCGCCAATTAGGCGATCTCGCCGAGTACGTTTTCGCTTTCAATCTCGCTCTTGAACTTTTTCCGGATGCCAATTCTTTTGCTTTTCATGTTTGATTTGCGTTTGGTTTCCGTTGTGTCTCTTCGTGTTCCTACCTCAAAATGTTGCATTTGCTCGTTTTGCGGTTCAGATTTTGGAGAATTAGCTTCTTAAGGTTACGTTTCGAGTGAAATTTCTCCTCCTGTTTTTTGTGACTGGTGATTACGTCCTTTTTTTTTTTTTGGTGTAGAAATCTTGAAGTGAAAGTGAACCTCGATTTGAACGTTTGTTTGATTGTTTTAGGATTAAAATTTCGGTTTCAAATTAGGAATTTACTTGAAAAGATAGTAAATTTTCTAATTTAGATAGTGTTAAATTCAAGCTTAGCTGTTTCTAGTGATTATGTTCTGACACCAAAACTATCAGTTCAGAGATTTTACACATTAAGACAATTTTGTGTGTGGAATCTTGAAGCATAAGTGAACCTCGGTTTGAACGTTTGTTTGATGGTTTTAGGATTAAAATTTTCGGTTTCAACTTAAGATTTTACTTAAAAAGAAAGTAAAAATTTATTATTTATTTAATGCAAGGCCTTGCTAATTTCAAGTGATTGAGGTAGTACTGACCTAAAAAAATATTGGTTAGATAGTTTTTACACATTAAGACAATTTTTTGTGTGGAATCTTGAAGCATAAGTGAACCTCGGTTTGAACGTTTGTTTGATGGTTGTAGGATTAAAATTTTCGGTTTCAAATTAAGATTTTACTTAAAAAGAAAGTAAAAATTTATTATTTATTTAATGCAAGGCCTTGCTAATTTCTAGTGATTGAGGTAGTACTGACCTAAAAAAATAGTGGTTAGATAGTTTTCACAGAAATGACAGTTTTTGCTATGAAACAAATTGCAGTAGAGAATCAGTTTACTGCATCTAGTGCATAGATATGCTGTTTTACAGGGAAATCTTTTTCTATTTGGATATTTATTTATGGAACAACGGAGACTTAGTGAGCCTGTCAGTCTGGAATGGTTGACAATTTGATCTTTTTGGCATGAGATGGTTGTATCTGATTAGAAGGAAGCACGTTAAGTAGGTTCAATGGAAAATCTAAAACCTGCAAGTGAAGCTATTTCTCTTTTTTGTCTTACATATAAAAAATTTAGCACTGTTGTATTCTAAATATTTTAGACAGGAAGCTTCTATTCACTTTGCAACCTTTCTTCTCGAGATTTTTCTTATCTGACGGTGCATTTATTTTCATGCTTTGGATTTTTGGACACACATGGTAACACTGTATTCTTTTGCCTTTTGACTAGAACAGAGCAAGTGTTAGGTATCTTACCTTGTTTTCAATACACCTTTGTCTCTTAGTTATTCTTGTGTGGAAATCCATACAATACAAGTTGGAGGATAGTATTGGCGTAGCCTAGATAAAGAAATAGACCATGTTATCCCTTACCGCAGGATCCATTTTTGTTTGCACATGGGTAAGTTATCGGTAAGCAACTATCTCATACAGCATCCTCACTTGTAGGTTCGCTGCGGAGGTTTTTCATGGCTTGCAGGAGCAGGTGATGGCTACATCTTCTAGAAGCCATAAACTGATGGTTCGTGTACAACACATTGAATCTGCACTTCCTCCCCTCGAGAAGGTTGTGCTGGCACAAACAAGCCATATACATTTCGCTTACACACCTGGTATGCCTTTCCTACATATGTTATAACCGGATGTATTCCATTTTATGTTAACTGCATGTATTTATATCTTTTGCGGATGCATTGTCAATCTTTGTTGAATAAAGCCGAGGATTCTTTACTCATGGTAGAAAAATAAACCGCCTGTTGTGCAGTAGGATTTTGTCTATTATTGTAATTTTCTTTTTAGTCCTTCCAGAGAAAGGCATGAAACTGTTCTGCATTGGCACGCGTGATTTTTTTTATTATATCATTGGCACTTGGACAATGTTTGTCATTTAGTTACTCGCTTTAGGATTTTGGAACCTTCTTTTTTATTTTTATTTTTATTTTTTTATGAAACAACCTTTCGTTAATGAAAATCAATCACAAAGGAAAGTGAGGACAAGAAGTCCACACCAATAACAAGGCTAACAGCAAACTATAACTAAGAAGCAGTGAAGCACACAAAAACATATAACCACCCGCCTTTACATAATTTCAATTCAAAACAATAAATGGAAAAGGAAAACCCTTGAAAACTTTATCTGTGGGCGGCTAGACACCCACAAGGAAGCTGAGAACTTTGCTCTTTTTTTTTTCTTCCTAAATCTGAGAACTTTGCTTTACCAAACAAAGCCACTAACTCCATCTCTCTATTCTCCGAATTTCTAGCATTGCTCTCCAGCCAAATTGCCCAAAACATAGAGATGGCAATGCTCTTCCACAATACTCTAGCCATCTTATTTGATTCAAAACCAGCAGGTTTCTTCAATTTGCACAATGAATCACAATAAGCATGGAAGCTCAAATCAGACCAGCTTCACTGAAAACTTTATTCCTCAAACTCCCAGCCACGGAACATCAAACAAACATTGAAAACTTTATTCCTCAAACTCCTAGCCATGGAACATCAAACAAACATATGAGCAATCGATATCTCTGCTCGTCTACACATAACACCATGTACGGAACTGCCCCCTGTTTCCTGCCCTGTCGCCACTGCTGCCAGGAAGCTTTCGTAAGAGAGTGCCTGAATTGTATCAGCCTTCATCGCTGATATTTTACTTGACTCAACCGGCCTTAATTGCCTTGGATTTGCTTGGTTTGATTGAGGATGTCGGAGGTGGCAGAAACAACAGCTACGATACAGTCGGAGGATGCAGAAATCGTTAGACCTCAAGCCGGGGAATTGCAGAACATTCATGCCGCATATAGGCTGAATGGAAAAAACTATCTTAAATGGTCCTAACTTGTCTGGACTGTGCTGAAAGGGAAAGGAAAAATCAGCCACATCTTAGGGACCGGACCAAAACCGGAAGATCCACGATTTGGAGCGTGGGATGAGGAGGATTCGATGATCATGGCATGGCTATGGAACTCCATGAATCCGGAGATTAGCGATACATGTATGTTCTTGGCCACTGCCAAGGATGAATGGGATGCAATTCAAGAAACGTACTCCAAGGCAAAGGATGTTGCCCAAGTCTACGAAGTCAAAGTTAAGACGATCGCTGCAAAACAAGGAGATAGGACTGTCACTGAATATGCCAATCAAATGAAGGCTCCGTAGCAAGAACTTGATCATTATAGGGTGATTAAGACCAAGTGTCCCGATGATGCAGCAATTTTGAAGGAGTTTATTGAACAAGATAGAGTTTATGATTTCCTTGTTGGACTCAATCCAGAATTTGATTTAGTTAGAATTCAGATTCTTTGCAAACAGGAAGTTCCAAGTTTCAATGAAGTGGTGGCACTCATCCGAGGAGAAGAAAGTAGAAGGGAATTGATGCTTGAACCAAAGGGGACTGACAGTTTGGCTTTAGTTGCTAGTAACAGCAATAAGACAGCCACAAATGCAGAAAAGTGCCGGTGGTCGAGAATGGGAGGATCAGCCAGCCAAAGACCCAAAACTTTGACTACAAAGACACTCTATGGTATACCTATTGCAAGAAGGCACGTCATACTCGTGAGCGGTGTTGGAAATTGCATGGAAAACCACCAAGCCGTGAGTGGGGACAAAAAGGGGAGCAACCGAGGAACAATGGACGAGCCCAGATTGTAGCAGTGCTGCCGCATGAAGGGACATCACAAGAGATGGGAAATCTCAGCCAAGAAGAAATTGAGAGGGTGAGATCACTTATTGGCAATCTTGAAAAACCATCAGGTACTTGTTCATTGACGTATTCAGGTAAACTTCCCTTCTCCATTGGATTAAATGTCTCGGATATAGCCTTTACCAGCTCCTGGATTATTGACTCGGGAGCTACCGACCATATGACCCATTCATCAAAATTTTTTTCCTCATATATCCCGTGTCCAAGTAATAGGAAAATAGTCACTAGCAACTAATGGTGATTGGGATTTGCAGCAGTTTGATGTCAAGAATGCATTTTTACATGGAGAACTGGAGGAGGAAATTTATATGGAAGTTCCACCGGGTTATAATAAAGGGTTGATTGCTGGTACAGTATGTAGACTAAAAAAGCCCTTGTATGGACTTAAGCAATCACCGCGAGCATGGTTTGGGAGGTTTGCTAGAGTAATGACAGCTATGGGATATAGGCAGAGTCAAGGAGATCACACTTTGTTCATTAAACACTCACCTTCAGGTAAAGTTACAAACCTATTGGTGTATGTTGATGACATAATTGTGACTGGTGATGATGATAGGGAGAGACAACTTCTGAGTCAATGTTTAGCGAAGGAATTTGAGATCAAGACGTTAGGAAGATTGAAGTATTTCCTTGGGATTGAGGTGGCTCATTCTAAGCAAGGCATTTTCATCTCTCAACAGAAGTATGTTACATATCTACTCAAAGATACCGGCAAGACAATATGCAAACCAGTGAGTACTCCAATAGAACCGAATCTCAAGCTTGGAGAGGCAAAAGAAGATGCTATGGTGGATAGAGAGATGTATCAACGGTTGGTGGGGAGACTCATTTATCTTTCTCACACTCGGCCAGATATAGCGAATGCGGTGAGTGTGATCAGTCAGTTCATGCACAATCCAAAGGAAGTTTATCTGCAGGTGGTATACATAGTTTTGCAATATACCAAATGGACACCAAGTAGAGGCATCCTTTTCAAGAGGAATGGAGGGTTCTTGAGGCATACACAGATGCTGACTATGCTGGGTCAGTTGTTGACAGAAGATCAACTTCAGGTTATTGCACCTTCCTTGGTGGAAACCTGGTGACATGGAGGAGTAAGAAACAGGATGTGGTAGCACGGTCTAGTACCGAGGCAGAGTACCGAGCAATGGCTCAGGGTGTGTGTGAACTAGTATGGTTGAAGAATGTTCTAGAGGATCTGAAGATTACGTGGGACGGCCCTATGAAACTTTATTGTGATAACAAATCTGCAATCAGCATAGCTCACAACCCGGTGCAGCATGATCGAACGAAGCACATCGAGATTGACAGACACTTCATCAAAGAAAAGTTGGATAGTGGACTGATTTGTACACCTCATGTATCTACACATGGCCAACTTGCTGATATACTCACCAAGGGGTTAAGTAGTTCAATATTTGAGAGTTTTGTATCCAAGCTGGGAATGGTGAATACCTATTCACCAGCTTGAGGGGGAGTGTGGAAGAATGTGTTTTACACGTGTATAGACTAAATTAGGAAAGTTTGAATATAATAGTTAGTTTTCCTAGAATTAGATTGATTTGGTTAGTTTCCTTTTTTAGTGTGATATCCCACATATTATGGGATGTGATTGCCGTTTCTATAGGATAGGGCTCATGTATATAAACCAGTTGTAATTGTCATGTAATTTACAATTCCTTCAATTTTTCCTCTCAAATTTCCACAGAAGGTGAGAAAACCATTGTCTAGGTTGCTCCGAAACGAAACAACGCAAGTAAGCTTCCAAACACCTATTCACAACCTCCGTTTGGCCATCCAATTGAGGGTGATACTGATACGAACCCCGCCAATAATGTGACGAAACCCGTAGTCAAATATGGGATACGATCCAAGATCTTCAAGAATTGATGGAAACCGCGACCCGTTACTTAGCAAAGCAAGAACCTTGGTATGGTGAAGACGTTACAAACGAATATGAAAATTCCGTTTGATAAGTCGGGTTGAACACCACAAGAAAAATCTTGATAAGTTCGGAATAGTTCTTAAAGAACTCAAGAAGAATAGCTCACAAAGTGAATAAAATATCAAAACTTTTATTAATTTTCGTTTTTCACCCTTAAATAGCCGAGTATAAGCGGAAAAGGTTTAAAAATTGAAAAGTCATATTCTATCCTTAATGAGATAGAAGCTTAAAATAAGATAAACCTAAAAACAAGATAAACGCAAGCCTAAAGCTTATCCTAGGGAAGGAATCCGAATTTGACTCAAACTCTTTTCTTCTAAACGCCTAAAGATAATCTCTTAGGGAAGGAATCCGAATTTGAATTTAACTCCTTCCTTAAAAACGCCTATTATGCAATTTAAATATTTAAATTGAAACTTAAACCTAAAAAGGTAGGATTATGATAAAATCAATTCCTTATCCGCAATTTTGACTTTATCCTGGGCTAGAAAACACGCCTAACTTCTTGAAATTTTTCCTTGCACGTGTATCTTGGATTGGCATGCAAGTTGACCATGCAATGGCTCAATAGACGTGTAAGACTACTTGGCTCTCTTCCGCAATGGCTCAATGGACGTGTAAGACTAGTTGGCTTTCTTCCGGATTGACTTTGATGAGTATTTCTTGCATCCCTGATGAGTATTTCTCGCTTAACCTCACTTGCTTTTGCATAAAAATTTCTTTGTATTCTGTTTTTACCTCCTTGGCCGAGCTCTTCTTTCTCTTTCGTTCCTTACTAAATTCGACATTATTCTCTCCTTTTCTCTATTTGGCCGTGTATCTCTCTTTCCTCTCTCTCTCACTATGCACGGTCTCACTCCTATTTTCACTCTCATAATTTTGATCCCTCATGTTCTCTTGTTCACTCAATTTTTGTAACCTCACTTGATCCTCGTATACGTGTTTTGGTGTCAAGGGAACTA